TTGATAATTGTAAGAAAGTAGAAAGATGCTTCTTTAAACAGTAGTGAACACAAATATATTTATGGGTATTCTGCATTATTATTAAAGTTATTATTTATCATGTGATTATAGTTTTATTGTAATAAAAGTGTAAACATCCAGTGCTAGTTACTTCAAATGATTTTCTGATTTATTTTAATTATATTTGATGTCTTGACGTAGCAATAGCAGTTAATCAGTTGTCATCAACTTATTTACCATCACCACTGTATTACCAACAACAGGGTGAACGGTTACATATAGTTTTAGTCATATTTCAACATAACAATGAATGTACAAACTGTAGGACATTTTCCCGTGCCGTGAACTTTGTTTGATCCAACAATAGATACCCACCAGACGCTAACGTTTGTTGTGGGCGTGTCATCATATCTTTAATATATCGTGTTGATTACCGACTACCAAAAAACATGGCTAGTGTGTCTCCTAGTATCTTGACCAACGTTCGCGATTTGCCGAGAAACGTAAACAAATGATGATTAGTTTATGGGAGGTGGGGCTTACAATGCATATATACAAGGGATTGACAGGCACAGGGAGGGGACGGAGATTGATAGATATTTTTAACTTCAAGAGACGTGTATTATCGTTCTGCGCTCATATGTCATTGTGTTTATTCGCATTCTTCATTCATCATTATTAATTGGCACATTGTACTAATTGTGTACCAGTACAAGATTTTCCGATACTCGGTAAGTTGATGATTTGTAATTATATTTCTTTTGTTTTGTAATTGTATTATTACTAAATTAAATCTTTTTTATTGTAATCGGCAACTGTTTTTGCGTGTCGAATCTTTATTATTGTATTTCTCTATGGTATCGTCCTTTTTTGTACACTGTTTGAACGAGTCATAACTCAAAACAAGATATTAATTTCTCATAATAGATGCCAGTGCGTAACGAATTTGGGGTAGCTCGTTCGCAATAAATATAATCCACATTTATTTCTTACATATCCGAAAATTAAGAAATTGTGGGATTTTCCTTGAATATTTGAATCCATAACTTTTTAATGCACCAATAAAACATTGAGTGTTTTTCAGTGGATATTCACCCACTGTTTACTTTAAAATGAACTAAATTGAGTTCACGATACCATTTTGCTTTACCAATCACAGAGCTAGTTACAGTTTTTCTTTAAATTCAATTAAATAAGTGTGTTCAGCAAGCTTATTTTTTTTAAAAATTAGATTTATATTTTCCTTGTGTCAAAATGGATTTAGATGTTGAAAACCAAATCAGTGGAGGCATTAGACAAATGTTCTAGAAAGGAGCTATTTTCCATTGCTAAGGATTTAGTAATAAGTGTATCTCATTCTGCAGTTAAAAAGACCATACGAGATATGATCGTCGTCCACTTAGTGGATGACAACATGTTGTCCGAGGACTAACTGGCCTCAGTCACACAACCGCATGATCCTAGTAATGAGATAATAATGACTGAACCTTAAAGAAATGGTGCTAGAGATACAGAAAGATAAAAACGTGATCTTAAACAAATGGAGCTAGAAGCTCAGAGAGAGAGAGACAGATTAAAAACAACGAGAGCTACAAAGAGAGAAAGAAGAAAAAGATAGAGAGCTACAAATGAAATGTAAAGAAATGGAAATAACGGCCACTTTGCGAGCAATGGAAAATAGGCTCTCGGCTCCTGCCTGTCACGGTTCCAATGCAAATAAATTTGCAAAGGTGATCTCAAAATTTGCTGAAAAAATGTTGACCAATATTTAGCGCAGTTTAAAAATACTACAAAAAAATGTAACATTCCAGAAAATATGTGGTCCACTTTACTTCAACCAGGCTTTATCGAAAGGGCAGACGAAGTATATGTGTCCTTGAACGCGGAACAGCGCAGGGATTAAGACTTAGTGAATTCTTTGATATTTAAGGCTTATCAATTTGTCCCCGAAGCCTACCGTAAAAATTTTGGGGAGCTATGGAAATGTGATGTCCAGACTCATGTTGAGTTCGTCCGGGAAAAGGAACTACTATTGGACAAGTGTCTTCACGCAACCAACACCGACACAGACTTTAAAATTTTAAGAACCTCATTCTGATGGAATAGTTAAGGAATTGTATTCGTACTGAGGTGCGAATACTTATTGCAGACCGTGGCGAAGGTGACGCACATACGCCAGCAGTGTTAGCTGATAAATTCACCATCGCAAGTCAATTCTCAAAGAACCCATCTGACACCAAAAATGACAGGCACAATAAGAAAAGCGCACCAACATACAGTAAACCTCTTCAAAAACCATACACGCCCGGTACAAAAGAAATTGGTAAAAAAAGGACATGTGCCTACTGTAAAAAAGACGGACATTCAAGAGATGAGTGTTGGAAACTCAAGAAGAAAACTGAGAAGACCACACATCCTGGTAAACCACACAAATTCTCCTCTTGTACGTCTCGTCATACACCTGGAGACACATTTTCAAAATTCAAGAGTTTTAGCTCTCCAGATGTCCATGCATACTTCAAAGAGGCTGTCACGACTCAACATAGAGTTCCATTATGAACAATGAGGCTAGTTTTACTGACTCTAGCCAAGATACTGCTTCAACTGAGAGTTTTATGAGTTTGTCGCCAAGATCCATTGCTCCAAGAAGAGGTCTACCTCCAGAGGACGTCTCACTGAGGACTAGAGTGAACATTTTGATGACTCTATACAGAGTTTTACTTCCTCTACCCTAGCCAATGTTCTTAAAACTACAACAAGAGTTTACCTACCAAGATCCAACCTTCTAAATCAGAAACTACTGATGTCATACAAGACTTCATGCCTTACAAATAGGAAGGATTTGTTTCACTGCCAGGTGATTTTTCTAGTCTACGACAAATCAAAATCTTAAGAGATACAGGTGCTTTACAACACTTGCTACTTGATGGTATACTTCCCTTGTCTGAAACTACTGCTACTGGGAGGAACATCCTGTTACGATTTGTAGAGCTGGGATGCATAGATGTACCTTTACATTTATCAACTTCAAATCAAACCTAGTCTAGTAACTGTGGTTGTGGGTGTCCGACCAACATAACCATTGGACGGCATCTCGCTACTGCTTGGTAATGACTTAGCTGGTGGGAAGGTAATAGCCGAACGCATCGTTACTCATCAACTTTGTTTAACTGAATATCAGGAAGAAGATCAAGAATTGTATCCAGCATGTGCTGTGACAAGGGTGATGACTTCCAAGATCTCAACAAAGGAGATTTCACAAAAAAGCAATAAAATCCTTCCAGGAATTGACCTGGCAAAACATTTTTTTTTCAGTCTAAACGAAGAGTCAATGAATCACAAGACTTCAACTCGAATGCAACTTATTGAAGCCCAGAAGAGTGATCCAGAAATATTCAAACTTCGTGAGAACGCTTTAACCCTATTAGAAGTTGAACAATTTCCTGATTGTTAATATATTCAAGATGACATACTTATGAGAAAATGGAGACCTCCAGACGCAAATGCTGACGAAGAATGGAGAATTTTTTATCAGATAGTAGTTCTTTCACCATTCCGGAAGGAAGTCCTTAACTTAGTCTATGATTCACCACTTGCAGTCCATTTAAGAGTGAAAAAGACATATCCCAAAATCATGTCGCACTTCTTTTGGCTCAAAATCAAGAAAGATGTTGTTGACTTCTGCTGATCATGTCATACATGCAAGGTGGTAGGGAAACCAAATCAGAAAATACTGGCAGCTCCTATTCAACCTTTTCCAGTGTTCGAAGAACCTTTCAGTCGCGTTATTATGGACTGCGTTGGACCTCTGCCAATGACTAAATCAGGTCTTAAATACTGACACCATGTGTGCGTCAAAAAGATTCCAAGAAGCTAATCATCTTCGCGATATCAAGACTCTAAAAATCGTCAAAGCCTTTACGAAGTTTTTTACATTGTTTGGTCTTCTGAAGTCTGTAAATTCTGACAAAGGAACCAATTTCAAGGATGGACTATTCAAATAAGTGATAAACCAATTGGGCATAGAACTCTGCTTGTCAAGTGCATATGATACTGAGTCGCACGGAGCACTTGAGCGATTCCATCAGACGTTGAAGAGCATGATAAGAACGTACTGCCCAGAACAAGAGAAAGACTGGGATAAAGGAATCAACATGTTACTGTTTGCCACCAGAGAAGGTGTCCCTTAATATTAGAACCATTGTGTGAGCCGAGCAAACTCTACGAATCCGTTCGTCATCGGATTTTTAGGGGCTTAGAGTTGTTATGTGAATACTTTTTGAAATTGTCTTTTAATGCATTTTGGGGAAGGACAATATCGAAAAGTGGCAGGAGGCTACGAATAGTCGAGCGACGTCTCCGCTCGACTTGCTTGTGCTTTACAATATGTGTTTATATTACTTAATAGTAGTGTGGCTTTTATTATTTTTATATTAAATGTTATGTGTCTTGACTACCAAATAGATCAATAAGTTTTCAAAAGGAAATTAAATTTCCATCAAAAAAATGTTTTAAAATCACTTCTAGCATCATTTTACATTTTAAAAGAAAATATTAGATGCAACATCAACAAACTTGATAATAGTAATTGTCTTTTCTGAATATTTCCAAGTTTTATCATAGTCAAGAATAAAAAATAAAATACTGTTAGCTAGAAATGTATATACATATTTAGGAGTGTCCTAAACTGGTTATTGTTTTCCTAAATCATATATTTACGGTATAACTAATTTGAGAAGACATCATGTTATACAGGGTGACCCACGAAAAAGTAGCCCGCCTTCCTGCCAGAGTGGCGCGCAGAGTGAATCCTTCCCCGTAGCACCCAGTCAACCCATCCCTTCCACAGAGTTTATTGGGGGACGCCGCGTTGGCGGCTTTCGTCACACTCCCCGCCCCCAGGTGCTGTTAGTCTGGGGAAACGGCGACAAAGGAGGCATCATATTGCCTGGTTAAAGGAACTGTAGAGGTGCGAACGTGAGTACGCGCGGAGCGACATCTATTCCATTGCAAAAAGAATCGTGATAGTGCAGTCGTACGTTCTCACGGGTTCCATTAAGGAAACGCAGGAAATTTTTGCTGCAAAGTTTCTTGCCGCTGGTGTCCCAGCAAAGTGCGCAATACAGCAGTTGATGAAAAAGTGGCGTACGACAAGGTCAGTTGGAACTCCAAAAAGAATCTGGTCTCGCCCGTCCGCACACCTGAGGCGATCGCCGATGTTTTTGCACGGATGGAGAGAAGCCCTGCCAAGTCTACACGTAAGTTGTCTCAGCACGCGTACATTTTGCGCACCTCTTGCCAGCGCATTTTACACGACCGCCGAAGGAAACCGTACCAAGTGTCACGTGTGCAAAAACTGAAGCAACCTGACAAGGAAAAACGTGTGCAATACTGCACTTGGCTACTTGAAACAATTGTGAGTGGTTTGATGGATCCGCTGCTGGATTTCATGAGTGACGAAGCCTGGTTCCGTCTGTCATGGTATGTGAACTCGCGGAATAGCAGATAGTTGTCAGTAGTCAACCCGAACGCGATTCATCAGGAATCTCTTGAGGATCAGAAAGTCGGCGTCTGGTGTGCTGTGTCTGGAACTCGGATTGTGGATCCCATATTTTTTGAGACAACCGTTAACACGAACGTGTACATGATAATTTTTTTAAAGAATTGTACGGACAGTTGACGCTGGAAGAACGCAAGTACGCCTTCTTCCAAGAGGATGGCCCGACTTGTCACACGTGGCATCAGCACGAATTCGGGAGACATTTACACAAGATAGGATTGTCACCAAAGGAGTGTGGCCACCGCATTCGCCGGACTTAACATCTTGTGAATTTTATAAGTGGGGCTATTTGAAGGGAAACGTGTACGCTCATAACCCGAGAACTTTAAAGCAGCTGAAAGACAATATTTGTAATGCAATTCAGAGCATTGGTGCCCCAGAGTTGCGTCGCGTATATGACAACATGTTAAGGGGCGCCAAAAACTACATTGAAGCACAAGGGAATCATTTTGAGAACATTCTGTAAAGAGTGAGTAAAGATTTTGGCATTTCGAGCGCTTTCTTTCTTTACGGAACGCCGTCAGTAATACTATACTAACGCGGTCTACTTTTTCGTGTGCCACCATGTATTTATTAAAGTGTGATTTTATTATAAATATACTTTGACGCATTTTTTTACCAAATCCACATACTTTATTTTAATTTGACAATTTAGGAACACGAATTTTTCTCTAAAACTAAAAGCAAAAATGTAATTGTCATGATAATCAAAATTATAATTCTAAAAGTTGTGCTAACTTTAAAACAGATTGCACAGATGGACCTTAAAATGGATGTAAACATAATTTAAAATATTGTTAATAAAGTTCTTAAATGGGAATTTGCTTTTTTAAAATGGTATTAGACCTTTTAATGTTTTTCATCGTCAAGAAAATATTTCAGAGAAATATTTGAGGGTGACATTCGAGGATTTAAGCGTTAAGCATTGTTCATCATTTAAATTTAGTTAAAAATTAAACAACAATATCGTAAAAATGAAAAACAAAAATAGAAACAACATATTCATTAAAATTATCGTTTTAATAAATAAAAAAAATTAATTCAATTTCCCAATAAAATTGTAATTATCCTTCTTAAAATAAAATTTTAAGCCAGAAAAAATTTAAAAACATTTGTCTTTATTTATTTCCTTCATGTACATTGTTATCTGGCAAAGTTTGTGAGACTGCAAAACTTTGGGGTTCTGAAAAGGCTGTCAGACAGTATGCGAAGAACTATCAGACAATTCTTCCGGCTCATCATCTTCGGCCTCCTCCTCCAACTGTGCACTGCTATAGGAAACTCCCCCTTCTGTAGATTTGCTCAGTGTTGATATGCTAAATTTCTCATTATCTAGAAAGTAAAATAAGTAGATTAATTTAAAGACCATCGTGCTTATTAAGGAGTTAGACGTGATATTAACTCCCATTTTTACACTAATGTTTATGATTGGTCTACTTTTCCACGCAATTCTCAAATTAAATGCGTCACATTTGTATAGAACAAATATGATAATGTATTTATTATTTTATATTGTTATAGGGTTTTCTTCTTATATTAAATAATACTAAATGCTTTGATTGAAAAATGTTATTTTAATGTTGTATTTACATGCAAGATTATTATTATGTGATTTCAATGCGATGCAGAGAAAAAAGAATGAGAAGGAAAAAATCGCAAATCTCACAAACATCTCTACGCTGACTAAATATAAATGTCACATTTTGAGTCGGCTACTTTTCATAAACTATGTAGGATGAATGCTTATAATTACCAATGACTTTGTTATATGATGAAGCAATCCCAGGGGTGATAAAGAAAAAAAGAACGACTTTTGAATTAAACAAAATGAATGCCCTGGCAAGAGCTTTGGTTGACTTTAAGTCTCAAAGCTCATATTCACCAGTGAGCCCAACCATAGCAAGTAAATAACCTAAAGTGCAATAAAGAAAATGCTGTGTCGCTACTCCACAGTGGAATGTCAAAGTTATCTCGTTCAGCTATTTTGCCTAAACTTTTAGTACCGGATTTGACTTTATCCACATAAGCGGACTTAGTGGCGTAACTTGAATTATACCCAGACAGGCTGGGTCAAGACGTTTGCCTACCCACCCTTCAAAAAATACTAAAATTACAATTGTTTGAAAAGGCTGTCTCTCGACATAAAGATATCAGCAGAATTTTAAATTACATCACAACCGATTCAAGTTTATTATTATCATGATACTATTTTACTTTTGAAAAATTTACTTAGAATTGGAAGTGTTGAAATTTGTCCGCTATATTTATTGTATACTCTATATACAAAAAGTTATGGAGCAAAAAAAAAATAATAAAATAGTTAAAAATATCAACTTAAAATACGACATTATTTACCTGTTGGCTGTTGTCGCTGGTAGAGATCAAGTACGTTATACGTAAAACACACAAGTCCTATGATAGGAACACTCAAATAAAGGAAGATGTTGACGTTTTGTTGTTGTTTTTGTGTTTTCTTCGTGCGTTCTTTCGGAGCGTCTTCCTGCTCTATCCAGGGATTGGTTTCATTTCTTGAGGCTGTGAAGTGAGATGAACGATGACATATAGTTTATCGCACGGGCTAATTAAGGTGAAATACGATTATTTTTTTTTTTTACATTTACATAATGTTTTGATGTAGTTGTACATTTTCATACGCATCATATGGAGTACCCTTCTTGTTAAGATAACGATTTAAAAGAAAACATAAGACATTAAAGGTATTTCTTAAAGGCTTAATTCAGCCCTCATGTGTCGCAAAATCTCACTATCTTAAAGTTCTCAATGAAGAATCTCCTTAAAGAACGAAGAAAAGTCTCCTATTTCGAGCATTAAAAGTGTAAAGTTCGTGTCTTATCTTCATTTGAATCGTATGGCAACATAAATTTTAACAACATCATATAGTTGAAAGGATGCTAAGGCGGACCAAGTTAACTATGATTTTTAAAATGACACTAATAGTTTTTCTCAAAACACAAAATTCGTAGTGATTTAATATAAATAATGTAAATCACGAGAAAGACGAGAGACTAGATTTTATAGCGGAAGATGAATACACATTTTAAGTAGGGCAAGAGAGTATACGGTTTTGATCTGGAAGAGGTAACAGACATATTGTTGTTTTTTTTTAGTATGGATTACTGAATCATTATCAGATGCAATATCATTGAACATTTGTATTTATATATACTTTGCACGCTATGATTGTTACAAGGATATCCTAATATCAAGGATTTATTCAACTTAACTATTATATGTAATAAAGTACACTATAAAATATTCATTGGACGTTATTATTTCTTAAGTGAGAGAGGAACAGATTAAGATAGGGGTGAACGGTAGAACAATTTAGTTATTCAATCAGTAGCTGCAGGCCATACCCTACATTGAAATCAAAATATTACTTATCAATTTTACCAGCAACATTGTTACATTTTTTTTTCCTTTTTAAAATAAAATGTCAACAATATATTTTTAACAGCTAAATATTTATTAAAAAATATATATATTGTTTCGTTATCTTAAGTAATATGATGATGATTTTTGATGTCATTCGCAGAAAGAGATGAATTAAGTAGTTTTGATAATAGAAGTGTTATAAACATGATATGGAGAGTAGGATTGTGCTATAGCATTGTGATAAGATTGCATCACATCGAATCGGTACAGCTACCTTGATTCGGATTATTAAGTGCATAAAGTATATGATGTCGTGACAATTATTTTATTTCAGTTTGGTTACATATTTTGTATTGTCAATCTTGAATATTCAATGTGAATAAATGTTCATGGCGATGAGATGCTGTGCTGTCTCGTCTTTTCATAGCAATATGTGCAATGACAAATACGAAGTATCATACAAGGTTCACGTCAGTTACAAGTAGCACAAGAGAACAACTGATACAAGTATCCATATGTACTTTAAGTAACTACCTTCCATACAATGGGTTCCATGCCGCCCATGACGACAGTTGTAGCAGAATCCATTGTAATTACATAAATATTTGTAACACGTCAAGATGCAGGTCTCGGAACAGCCGAAGTAGTAATAAGGCGGGGCACAGTCTGATTAGAAATGTACATTCATTCTGGATTTTATTAAATTTATACATCCAAGCGAATGCTGTATTTGTGGTATTTAGTTAAATCACATAAGCTCAGAAATGCCTGTTCTAGAAACCTGATGAACCGCATTACTAAAAGGTTCAAAGTTTTGCCATTGAAATTTCTTATTCTTTATCACAACCAATTGACGTCATCCCCACATTACATTTGCACTTAACCCTTTAAACTTTATTGGCATTAAAAAAAAAAGTTACGCTGCTATATTTTAAATCTTTTGATAAGAAAAGTGGTACTTTTAAGCCAAACAGCTAGCAAAGAGTGATCCCATTCTGAAATAACAAAAAAATCAATTGAACTTGACAATAACAATCAGCCAGTATTATTGAGTTGACCAACTGGTGACAATATATATCAATCAATTTGCATAGGAAGCCTTCCTTAGAAGTGCTCCTTTGTCATAGCTAGATGAAGACCACATCGGCTGTGATTCGACAATGTTGAGGGCATATTCAATGTTGAATACAAAATCTTTCAGTCGGTCTAAAACCCTGCGCCAACTCACCACCTTAACCTTCACGTGACATGTCGCCATTGGAAGCGGAAAGACACAGTTTAATATCCCTAAACGTTGACTTGTTTAACACTCCACAATTTGAAATAGCTATTATTAAGTTATAATTTTATTATTTCAATACATATATTATATATATATATATATATGGCTTTTACATATGTTAA